ACTTATTGAAAAACAATGTTCTGAACAAATTGCAAAAAATAGATTACGGCTTGAAGGTTCAATTGTTTCTGCCTGGTTTCTTGCAAGTCAGGGTTTGGCTTTTAGAGGCCATGATGAAAGTAAAGAGTCCCTTAACCGTGGAAATTTTCTTGAATTTTTGAGTGCTATGTCTAAACTTAATGAAAATATTGCAAATGTTGTATTAGACAAAGCACCTCAAAATGCCTCTTATACATCACCGTCTGTCCAAAAGGACATTTTGCTTGTTATCTCAATGAGGATCAAAAAAGTGATTGGTGAAGAAATTGGGGATGCAAAGTTTTGCATTATTGTTGATGAGGCTAGAGATCAATCGAAAAGGGAACAAATGGGTATTGCCTTGAGATTTGTTGATGTTTGTGGGTTTGTTCGGGAGCGTTTTTTTTATCTTGTACATGTGTCTGATACGAAGGCAATAACTTTGAAAGATGCTATATTTACTACCTTGTCTAGTCACAATCTTGACATTCAAAATATTCGGGGTCAGGGATATGATGGAGCGAGTAATATGCGTGGTGAATTCAACGGGTTACAAGCACTAATTGCTAAAGAATGCCCATATGCATATTATGTGCATTGTTTAGCTCATCAGTTGCAATTGGCGATGGTTGGAGTATCTAGAGAAGTTATCCCCGTCCACCATTTTTTTTACAAAGTTAAATTTCATCATAAATGTGGTGGGTTCTTCTTGTAAACATGTCGATTAATTAAAATCGGCCCAAGCTTCAGATAAACATGTCGATGAATTAAAAGCATCCAAGCTTCAGATATTGCTTACTTGATTTCTATTGATGAGCTTGAAAAAGGGTCTGGACAAAATCAAATTGGCAGTTTACAGCGAGCAGGAGATACGCAGTGGGGTTCACACTTGAGGTCAATTTCTAGCTTGTTGAAGATGTTTAGTGCAGCTTGCTCGGTTTTGTTGTGCATCATTGATGAGGGAAATTGTGATCAACGAGCCGATGCAGATTCAGCTTACATTTCTTTGACCTCTTTCGAGTTCGTCTTCATCTTGCATCTTATGAAAGAGATCATGGAAATAACCGATACGCTTTGTCCAGCTCTCCAATGCAAATCTCAAGATATTCTCAATGCTATGCATCTTGTTGGCACTACAAAGAGGCTAATCCAAAAATTGAGAGATGATGGATATGACAGTCTATTCGGCAAGGTAAAGTCTTTTTGTGAAAGTCGTGCGATAGAAATTCCTAATGTCAATGATTTATATGTTGAAAGAGGAGGACGATCTCGGAATAAGCAAAATCTATTTACAGTCGGTGATCATTACCATATTAATATTTTTACGGTTACGATAGATTGTCAACTCCAAGAGCTAAACAACAGATTTAATGAGCATGCCGTGAAACTACTTATTCTTAGCTCTATGTTTGATCCTCGCAATTCTCAATTGTCTTTTAAGATAGATGATGCTTGCCTTCTTGTCAATGAATTTTATCCAAGAGACTTCACAGATTATGAAAAAGATTTACTGCAAGTTCAATTGCGACATTATGAGATTGATGTTCTCCAGCATTCGGAATTTCAAAATTTGGGCACGATCTCTGATTTGTGCCAATGGATGGCGAAAAGCAGAAAGTTTTTTATTTATCCGTTGGTTGATAGATTAATAAGGTTGATTCTTACTCTTCCTGTGTCTACGGCGACCACAGAGCGTGCATTCTCGGCTATGGCTATTGTTAAGTCCAAGCTTCGAAGTAAAATGGAAGAGGAATTTCTTGTAAATTCTTTGACCATCTTTGTTGAAAGGGAAATTGCAAGATCTATTACTAACGAGTCAATCATCGATGGGTTTCGTGACTTGAGCGAACGTCGAGCACAATTTAAATAATCACAGAGCTTGAACGGTATGTATTTTATTGAACTTTTTTTTTTCTATTCTAAAAATACAACTTTGTTTTTTTAATGAACTATTTTATTATTAAAAATTATTTAGTCCCCCCAATTAATTTTTCTAGATCCGCCCCTGGTTTGTATGAAGTTGATTGTTTCGTGATTTCGATGATGATGTTTCCCCTTATATTCCCTCAATTTTGCAATCAGTTTAGCTACAGAGAAATTAGGGAAAATAATTGTGAGCAACCTGAACTATACGTGTTTTTGGGATTTGCAACCTAAAGTATGTTTTTTGGTAAAATGCAACCTGAACTACATACACAATCACTATTTGCACCCTCGACCAGATCTTGACCGTCCGATCAATAGCAAAAAAGGGCACGTGTATGGTCAAGATATGGTCGAGGGTGCAAGTAGTGATTGTGTATGTAGTTCAGGTTGTATTTTACCAAAAAAAATACTTTAGGTTGCAAATCCCAAAAACACGTATAGTTCAGGTTGCTCACAATTATTTTCCCGAGAAATTAACAATGTTTCATG